TAATAATAGCTAACACATTGTACACTAGGCAGTCTTATAAGCACTTTATAAAAATAATGTACATTCTTACCAAAATAAAAAAGCATTAATAGCTGGGTACGGTAGGGCATGCCTATAATCCCAACACTTGGAAGGTAGAGACAGGACAGCCAGAAGTTCAAGGCCACCCTCAACTACATAGTGAGTTTGAGGCCAGCTTGGGCTACGTGAGACTCTATCTCAAAACAAAGCAAAAACAACAACAACAAAGGCACTGGAATCCTTTGTCTAGCATATAACCTGTGGGGTCGCTCCCTCTCCTCATGGGTCATTGGCCACCACTCCACGAGGACAAAGGGAGCAGAAGCGACGAACGGGGTCAGGATGGTCAGTGAGCACTGACAGAAAAAAGCCCTTCCGGGGAGGCAGGTTCAATGATCCAAACAGCTCCAGACTCAGGGAAACAGCTCTAGATTCAGTGAAACAGCTCCGTTCATTCAGTGGGGGTTAGGGAAAATATAGTGTGGAGGCAGTAGCCAATGCTTCAGCTGATAGGTGCTCATAGTATGCTTTATTTACATGTGGCAGTAAGCTCCTATCATCTGACTACCGGGCAATACCTGATTATCATATAGAAAAAGTCCTGGGGGTAGTTTTTACTCCAGGTAACTATGCCAGAGGTCATGTTCCAAATAAGGTCAGGCATCCGTGCTTGGCGGCACTTCCCAGGTAAGTCAGGAAGAGAGCAGGAGGCCCCCTACTGAGAAGGGGAGTCCTTCCATATGGTGCTGAGCCCCTTAGAGCTATCCTGACATGGAGGACTACAACCCTAGCAGCAGGGTTCTCCAACAATAACCCATAAAAGTAATTTAAATTATCAAAAAGCAAATACATATATAATTAACCTCACAATAATTCATTGTAATTTAAGTTATACTAAACTTTTCAAACTTGTTTGTTAACAATTGTTCATTGTCAGTTATTGTTGATACATTGAAAGACCATTTTCTTACATCACAAATGAATGTGTAAGTAGAAAAAAAATCTTTTTGATGAGCAGTTCAGCAACATGAACTGAGTCTTAAAGACATTCATTCCTTGGACCATCTTATGTTGTCAGGATTGCAGCACTGACACGATCAGAGATGAAATGAAAATGTGTGTTAAAGGAGGTTTTTCAGAGTTTTCTAATGAAGAGAAATAGGAAGCAATTTCATCCAGAAGGGGAAAAAAGGAGCATCTAGGTATCTTGCAATGTTAGGAATCATCAAAATTATACTTTCAAATGGCAAATAATCTATCAGTGGTGACTAGATCATTTTTCAAAGAGTATAAATCATAGAGTAGTAGAATACAAAAATCAAAAAACAGAAGCTGGGTGTGCTAGCCAACACCTTTGGTCCCAGCACTCAGGAGGCAGAGGCAGGCATATTTCTGTCAGATCAAGGCCAGCCTGGTCTACATAGTGAATTCCAGGCCAGCTGGGGCTACAGGGAGACCATGTCTCAAAAAAAGACAAAAAAAAGAGAGAAAAAAATATGTAGAACAAGAGGCAAAAATGGAGGATATTCTCTTTGAGTTTTTTTACATGGAGTTCTACAACAAGGAAAACTTAATTGACAGCTGAAGAACTAAGTGCCTTTGACAATATCTTGAGAGAACTTTCTGACAAGATAGAAACATCCCAGATCTTGACTGCTTGTGAAATAACTAGCACTTAAACTCATCCCCTTTACCTACTTCATTTCTACTTTGACTGGTTAAATTAGACCTCAACAATCATGGATTGCAAGAAGAGATAAGAAAACAAACATGGGCTGGAGAGATGGCTCAGTGGTTAAGAGCACTGACTTGTCTTGCAGAGAACCTGGGTTCAATTCCCAGCACCCACATGGCGGCTAACAACTGTCCTTAACTCCAGTTCCTGGGGCTCTGATGCCCTCTCCTGACCTCCATGGGCATTGCACGACATGGGTGCACTTAAATACATACTGGAAATACACTCATTAAACATAAAAATAACAAAAATATTTTTTAAAAAACAAGCACAATATTTACCTTACCATCTTAATTAAAAGAACTATGATACAATGATACACATAGTATAGTTCTAATTATGCAGAATGATGAATGCAAATGGAGATATGTGGAGAGATATGAGAAAGATTGTGTGCCATGAGCACATGAACCTTTTATAACTAAAGAAAACAGTGTTCTGGAAGCCTCCCTTTAACAGGTTCCCTTTTTCTTCTATACCCTGGCTTTGACCTTCTTTAAGTTCTTTGTGTCTCTGCCCTAGTCACCTGTCTCATTCTATGCTCTCTGGCTGTTTAACTCCTGCTTATCCAGGTCTCAGATCAATCTGGACAATGTCAGAGAAGACCTGGTTCTCCCCTGATTCAAGCCCTCTCCGTCCTAGGTGAGGGCCACACTCATATTACTTACTTTTATTGTTGCTCTGACCAAATACCTAACCTAAACAACTTAAAAAAGGAAAGATTCACTTCAGCTCATAGCTTCAGAGGGTGAAGTTTGTGGTCATTTAGTTCTGTTTCTGAGTCTAGTATAGGGTAGTGGTGGGAACACAAGGAGGGGCTAATGATGTTATGGTAGACAGGAAGAGAAAGCGAGGCAACAACCAGGGAGTAGGTATAACTTTGAAAGGCATATACCAAGGGACCACTTCCTCCTGAAGTTTCTTTCCACAGCCTCACAAAATAGACCCAGTATCTGGAGTCTGAGAATTGACCCACCATTGGGGACATTTCATATTTAAACCACAGTATACCTTATCCCCCTTCAAGGCATTTAATTATAAATTTTCACATGTTGACATGTAGAAGTTAGCCTCCATCTTAGCAAATCTGCCCAAGACTTCTGAAACCAACTGCAACCTCAAGAATTTCCCAAATTACCCTCACCTTCAATAATTTGATAGAAAACCTCACAGAACTCACTGAAACCTATTAAACTCATGATTGTATTTAGTACAGGTTGAGGATACAAAGTATAATCCAAAAGGAAAGAAGACAGAGTCTATGTTACCAAATACGAAGTCATAACAGACACCTTGTCCTACTAACATCTCTGCATGGAATACCGCTTCCTCGGGAAGCTCACCAAGGCTCTGGTGTCTGAAGTTTTTATTGCAGCTTTGTTACATAAGTATAATTGATTGATTGATTGTCCATGGGCTTGAACACAGTCTTTGTCATATGTTAGGTTTTCTGGATTTCTAACTGGATAGCCTGCTATTTGGTACTGAAGATCCCACTTAGGGCGACCACTTTAACATAAACTCTCAATGTTTTCCCATTAACAGACACTCCTACCAGTTTAGGAAATTCCAAGGGTTTAACAGTTACCTCTAAGGAACTGGAACAAAAACCAGACTCAGCGTTAAGCAGAACACAATGCTAACTATACATTATGGCTAAGGGAATAATGTCTCTCCTTTACCTCTTCTCAGTATGTAGCCCAAGTTGGCCTCTAACCCTCAGCCTTCCTGACTCAGCTCAGAAAGTGCTAGAATTACAAACACATATGCCAAGACCCAACTCCACATCTGGCTTTGCTCCCAGTTTTATCCTTAGCATTTACCATAGTGGTTGGCGAATGTTGAGAGTCTGCATGACCTGGACTCAGGTGCCAGACAGGCTCTGGTTACCTCTAACCGAGTGAATGAACAAGTTATTTAACCTCTTGTCCATTGAACTCACCTGAAAACTGCAGTAATGTTAATAACTATCTCAGAGAATTGCAATGAAAAGTGAAAGAATGAACATCGTTAAAGTTCTCAGCTTAGTGTGGTACAGAGTAGAAGCTATAGCAATACTTAATTTTATTAAATGCTCAATAAGTGCTGATTATGTGTCTTTCACGAGGATGGCTTAATACACTTGCTGAAAGAACAAAAATGTAGATTTTTCTCCTTTATTAAACTTTTTTATTGCTACAGCACACACACATATACACAAAACTTGGATATGTCATCAGTTATTATAAAGACTATAGTTCAGTAATATGCCTGAGAAAAATACCCCAGGGCTGGAGAGGTGGCCCAGCAGTTAAGAGCACTGGCTGCTCCTGCAGAGGACCCAGGTTCAGTTTCAAACACCCACATAGTGGCTAACAACCATCTGTAACTCCAGTTTCAGGGGACCCACCGCCCTCTTCTGTCCTCAACAGGCACTGCATGCATGTGGTATACTTACATATGTGCAGGGAAAACACTGAAACAGGTAATATTTTTTAATAATAAAAAAATTTTTAAATGCCCCCAAAAGGAGTTCAGAGTCCATCTCTGCAGTAAGCAGCACCCTCAGCCATTGAGTGAGGAATTCAATTAGGCAGGGTTTACTGTCTCAGCTCCAACAACATGTTATCCTTAGAACACAAACTAACTGTAAAAATAAGACCATTTTACATGGAGGCATGAAAACTTTGCATAAGTCTGATAAAGAACAAAAAAATAATCCAGTTGATTTAAAAAATTAATCTTTAATATGTGACAATGTAGGTTTGAGTTGCAGTGATAAACTTTTATTAACTTGATGGAATTTGGCTCCCTGACAAACCGTACAAACAAAATTTATTTAAAACCATGACAAATGGCCACTTTTATCTTGTCACTACATTGGCTTAATGTGAGCTCCTAGAAGATGGCCGATAATAATATCAGTGATGTTTCTAATCAAGAGCTTCAGCACCTTTGAGTAAAACAGCCCTAGCAATTAGAGGAAAATCAGCCTTTTAAAACACTTCTTTTAATTCCAAAGAGATGCATAGACATTTGAATATAATCGTTTTTAAAACGTCAGGCTATTATGAAATGATAGAATTGTAAGTAAAGACTTCTAAGTACCCTTCCAGGTTTATTTTCCAAAAGTAGCAAATGTTAACCATTTGTTCTATATAGTTCTGTGCATATGCCTGCAATTAAAATGTGTATGTGCAATTGTCACTAATGTATTTGTAAAATTCTTGCCATTTGATATTTACCATCTCTCTCACCATTTCAGTTTTACCCCAGGCAGTCACCCAGTTTGAAGAATTGGTTGGTATGGCAGAGACTCTGCTTAAGGGTGGAGGATTTATGTCTACGTCTGCAACCACACTCTGGAGAGCAACAAACAACTCCTCACCAGATTCATTTGCCTCGATGGGCAGTAATTCCAATTCTAATTCCAGCTCACCGAGTTCCTTGAAGGCTGAGGAAGAGCGGCGCCCTGAAGAGAAGCAGGTTCGTTGGAACACCTGCCCTGTTGGTCTCTGAAAAGAGCTCCATCTAAAAACCAAAAGAAGGGTAAAAAACAGCACTGCTTCATCAGATAACTTTAAGGCAAATTTAGGTCCCTACCATTATATTCCTATCACAAAGAAGTTTTATTTTAACAATAAAAGCTAATATTTGTAAAATGGATATCCAGTTTAGAAAACTAAAGGAAAACTATGGACATAAATGAAGCTTTTGAATTATAAAATTCTTAAACTAGTGACAGAAGAATACATACCCACTAAAGGTCATAAAACTTTATGTCCTTGAGAGAAGATAAAAGGTTGAACACACTGCTTTTTATGTTCTCCCCATTCCCCTTAATCAAAACCAAACTATAAATGTAAGTTTTGTTAAAATCAGGCATTTGTCTCAGAAAATATGCCTTCAGAGTGAGGATTAAATAATAACAATTTCTGGGTGTGGTGGCACAAGCCTGTAGTCCCAGGTGTGGGAGGCAGAGCAGGTAGATCTCTGTGAGTTCAAGGCCAGCCTGGTCTACATAGTGAGTTCCAGGACAGCTGAGGCTACAGGGAGACCCTGCTTCAAAGAGACAACAACAATAATAATAATAATAATAATAATAACAATCTAGCTGTCTGATATTCTAAGTATTTGAATCTTAGCATATAACTTCCTATTGCTATATATTAGGTTATCACAAACTGAATGATGCCAAGTAACAGAAATACATTCTCTCCGAGCTCTGCAGTTCAGCATCTGATTCAGGTCTCACTGGTCTAAAACAGGATATCACCAGTGTGCCCTTTCCAGAGGCTCTCAAAAGGAGTCTGTTTCCTGCTCAGCTGGATTACTATTGTAGAATTTAGTTGTAGAAATGAATTTCCATTTCCTTGCTGGCTATAAATTGAACATGGTTCCCACTTACAGAAATACATTCCTTATTTCATGACCCATTTCTGCTACATAGTCAAGCCCTCACTTCAGATCTTTCCTCCTGTCTTCTAGCCCCTCATCTGCTTTTAAGGGTTTATTTAATTCTCCTAGCTAATCCAGAATAATCTCCCATCTTGAAGTGCTTAACTTTAATTGAATTTCTAAAACTGTTTCCCCAGCAAGGTAACATAGTCACAGGTACCAGAGATTAGAGGGGACAGCTGAGAGCCTCTGTTTTCTCAACCATAAGTGTGCAGCGATCTAAATGACATGACAAGAATTTGCAAATACCCTAAAGAAAATACCTCATAAATGCTGGCAGATACCTGGAAGAAATGTAAAATATGGGGCTGGAGAGATGGGTCAGCGGTTAAGAGCACTAGTTGTTCTTGCTAGTTTGAATTAGATCTGGGTTTGAATTCCAGCACCCACATGGTGGCTAACAACTGTCCATAACTCCAGTTCCAGGGAATTCGACACCATCTTCTGTCTTCCTCAGGCATTGTACAACACAGGTGCACTTACCTACATGCAGACAATACATGCACACACATAAAATAAAAATAATAAATAAAATATTTTCTATAAAAAGAAATGTAAAATATATACTAAAAGTACAAAATACCGCTCTAAAGAATGTCGGGGTTTTTTGTGGTTTGTCTTAATTAGCAACTTATTTTTCCAGATAGTATTTCTCTTTTTCTAATTTCAGTTATCATTTCTTATTTTTTTAGTTCAAGATTGAAAAATGGCAGATTGCCCGTTGTAATAAGAGCAAGCCTCAGAAATTTATTAACGATTTAATGCAAGTACTTTACACAGATGAATACATGGCCACACACAGTCTGACAGGGGCAAAATCCTCAACTTCAAGGGACAAAGTTGTGAAACCAGCCATGAATCAGAATGAAGTTCAAGACATCATAGGTGACAATATGATTGCATTATATTTTCACATGAATTTGAAATTATGTTACCATTTACAGACAAGTTATTCTTTCATGGTCCTTTCTTGTTTTCAAATTTATTTTTCTATGAAATAAAAATTTTAGAATAGGTTGATGTAGCTACTAAATTTTCCATAAAAAGTTTTCATAAAAATGGTTATCAAATCTGGGCATGTTGGCTCATATACTTCAGAGGTGGGTGCAGGAGGATCAAGAATTTGGTATCATCCTGGGCTACACAGTAGAATCACAGACCAGACCAGACTGCATGAGACCCTGTCTCAAAAATAAATTATTAACTTAGGAGACAGAGGCAAGTGGATCTCTGTGAGATCAAGGCCAGCCTGGTATACATAGTAAGTTCCAGGCCAGCTGGGGCTGCAGGGAGACCCTGCCTCAAAAAGACAAAAAAAAAAAAAGAAAGAAAGAAATTATTAAATTTATTAAAGTTTATATAACTGAGAAGTTTGAGTTAATAAAATTCATTATATTGCATTATATCAGAAAGTAAAAATGTCATTATAGTACAATAAATTTTCAATAACAATTTGTATTTTATTTTCTCCTTCTTAATTATGTCCCTCATGTTTTATTCTAGAAAATATCAATTTAGCCATCATATTTATGGGTTTTTGATTAGTGAATCTCCTTAAATAAAGTGATCTACCTTGCCTATTTTTTTTGCAAACATTCAAAGAATTTAGAAAATCTCTGACCAAGCTCTATAAATGCCATTTCTTAGTTAGAAATGATAGATTTGTTTTTGATTAATATTAGAAATGAATAAAAATAAATCTATAACATTTTGGAGCAAAAGGAGGTAAAAGCTGACTGATATTACAGGAAGACAAATATACATGGTCTCTGTTTATCATAGGCCTTTTGCTATCCTTTGAAAAACTTGAGTATATTCATTTGTTTGAATATTTCATAGTGATTTAAGTTACTTTTGTAAAGTAGAGACCAAATTTTCAAATTTTGCCTCAGTTCACAAGATTCATAACCTTCACAAATTGTCTCTGTGTGTCACCATTATCTTTTACAGGAGTAACAAAACAGTTATTTCCCAACGCAGATGATGTTTCAATTAGAAGAATGATAGGCCAAAAATTAAATAACTGTACCAAGAAGCCAAATTTAAGCAAAAATCTTAACTCTCAGGATATTAAGTAGATCCTTATGGTAAGTCTTTTAAATCCTCATGATATTTTCAATATGACAAGAAAATGCTATACTGCTCTGTGGAACAGTATTTTCCAAATACTCTACTAGAGAACACTAATGCCCTACAAATGCTAAGAGTATCCCCAGGAATGTGGAGGGTTGGAAGGGATTTGCATTTGGGACTGCTGAGCACTGTCACATAGGTTTCCCTCCCAGAATCTCTCAGATGTTGCGTGCCCTTTCCACATGCCCTGTGCACTGGAAATCGCTTAAACACAATGTAGTACATAAACTTTTCTTCCCAGAATTTGGGAATGGGATTGAAAGGAGCTGAAGGAGAGACACGAGATTATTTAGGGAGTGCTTCTCTAGAACAGAGGAAATTTAGATCCCTGGCAAGTCTGCAGTACCTGAGTGACAAAGAACTTTCAGTTCCAAATAGGATTTAACACTTATACAAACTGCTGGCTGGAAGTATTCTCCACTCTGTTTCTCATTTATTTAAATCTTTAAACAAGGGACTGAAGAAATGGCTCAGTGGTTAAGAGCACTGGCTGCTCTTGCAGAGAACACAGGTTCAGTTCCCAGCACCCACATGGCAGCTAACAACCATCCCTAACTCCAGTTCCAGAGATCTAACACATTCTTCTGGTCTTCGTGAGCATTGCATGACTCAAGTGAACTTACATACATGTGGGCAAAACACTCATACATGTAATAAATAAATAAATGGTAATATTTAAATCAATTGTTATAATTTAATAAGATTTTCTTAAACCAAAAGTCAGGCTTTGCCCCATGCATATCTATAAAGTTGAATCTTGGTCACTTCAGCTTTTCAGTGTCTGCTATGATTTATATCTGGTATGCTCACAAAGGCCCATGTGTTAAAGGCCTCATCTCCCAAGTGGTGCTTTGGAAGACAGCAGGAACGTTGAGAGTTTAGACCTAGTGCGGGGGGGGGGGCTGTCTTGGGGTTATTGGAGGCATGCCTTTGAAGGAGACAGTAGTCTTTATCTCTTTCTCTTACTTTTTTGTGCTTTTGTGCTGTCCTTCCATGAGGCACATAGCTTTGCTCTACCGTATGCTCTCTACTGTGATGTGCCACCTCATCACAAGCCCAAGGGTGACAGGGCCAATTGATCATGGACTGAACTGTTTACAATTGTAAGACAAAATAGACCCTATCTCCTCATAAGTTGATTGTCTCAGATACTTGTTATAGTAATGGAAAGCTATCTAATACTCTCCACTATTTTCATTGAACATGTGTGAAAATATGTATGATTCATATTTTCCTTGATTAATGGACTATATATGTGTATATATACATATATATATGTAAAACACATTAACATAAAGCTCATTTGAATTAGAAAGTATCTCCTTTTTTCACATTTATTCATACACACACTCCCTTGTGCCTGCCACAGTGCAGCTGTGAAGGTCAGAGGACAACTGGTAGAAGTCAGTTCTCTCCTTCCACCATGAGTTCTAAGGATCAAGCTCAGGTTTTCAGGATTGGTGGCAAGTACCTTTATCCACTGAGCCATTTTGCCAGCCCTATCATCTTTTAAGCCTCTGTTTTTGTTTTAGGCAGTGCAGGAGATTGAACCCAGGCTTGCATATGCTAAGGAAGCACTCTATCACTGACCTACATCCTCAGTCCTATATCTATCTTTGACTTCTGTTTTGCCTTTTCTTTGCCTAAGTGTAACCACCTTTGATACCATGTCACTTATCTTCATTATCTTCATTTCTTCTGATTATGCTTTAGTTGGGATATGAGCTGTGTAGTTCAGGAGCTCCCTCCTTCCCCTGCTCATTGCTATCTACCCCGTCCTCCTCAAGGATCTCTTTCTTACTGTATCACACCATAAGGCCAGCTCTGATAACAGTTGTCTCTCTTCCTA